GGGCCATGCTGGCCACCTTCGGTTCCAGCTTCCTCATCAGCGCCTGCTTCAAGCTGGTCCAGGACCTGCTCTCCTTCGTCAATCCACAGCTGCTCAGGTCTGTCCCTGCTCTCTCCTGCTGCAGGCCTTCCAAAGGGCTGCGCCCAGAGGAAGGAACAACATACAGTGAAAAGAACTCAGACCAGGAATGCAAAGTGCTGGTTCTACTTTTTGTGTGTCCCTTGGCAAGTGCCACTGCCTCTTACCCCAGTTTCCCCATTCACATTCAACTTACATTTGCTGGGTGCATACTGTGTGCCAGGTGCTGCAATGGACACGTTAACAGATACTCTCTCTGTAAATATTTCCAACAATCCCACATGGACTACACTGACTCCTATTTTTCAAGTGAGAAAGCAGAAACAGAAAGGTGAAGTAACTTGGCCAAGGGCACACAGCTAGTAAAGCGGGAATCAGATCTGAGTCCCAGGGTTTTCATCACCATCAGTCTCTGCCATCAGTCACTGCAGTGGCTTAGACTAGCAGGGGCTGTCAAATGAGAGAGTGGGTACCTAGCAGCTGGGCCCCCAGCCCCATGCCCCTCGAATCATGCATTTATTTGTTCTATGAACACTTATTGAGCCTCCAGTGTACCAGAATGGTGCTAGGCACTAGGAATACAGAGGTAAATAAAATGTGGTCTTGAGGTCTTGAGAGAGAAAGTGTAAATCAGTTGCAATAAGTGGGGGCAGAGGTGTACATAGGTGTCTAGAAGTCTGGGAGAGCCAACAAAGCCAGCCTGGGACAGAGCAGGGACCACTCACCAGCTCAGGATGTTGTCAGGTTTAGAGGGACTAGTAGGTGAATATAGGGGTAAGTTCACCCTAAGCTTAGTCACAAAGGCCTGAAACAGCATGACTCAGGGATTCCAGGTGTTTCTGAGCTGGAGAAAGGGTAATCAGAGGGTGGGGCAGGAAAACAAAGAGAGGCCGAGAGAGCTGAGAGTCAACAAGTACTGGCACGCTAAGGCTAGCCTTGAAAGCCAGAGAGATACATCTGGTTAACAAGCTCTCTGACCAGTCCAGACGGGTGGGGATGAAGAACAGGGCAGGCTAGCAGGTGGAAGTGTCAACCTGGCAGAGGCCAGGCATGAGGTAAATCTCCTTGGAAGCTATTTGGGAGACAGTTGTGTGGCCAGGAGAGGGAACGGTCAAGGGCAACCTGGGTTCTGGCCTGGGGGACTGGAGGATGATGGGTATTTTGCTGAGATGCTGGGCTCAGGAAGAGGTAGAGGTCAGGCATGGAGCAAGGTAGCCATGTTAGGCCAGAGGTGCCAGTGGTTCCTCCAAGGGGAGATGCCCAGCTAGCCTGAGACCACATCATCAGGATCAGAGGGTGGAAGCTCACGGTCCAGAGAGCCTGTGCAGGGGGCAAGGTTAGGTAGGGCACCCCATCAGAGCCCTAGGAATTCTGACAGGCCAGGGGGAGCACAGGGCAGACTGGAGGGGCCAGAGTTGGGAAAAGAAAGAAGAGAACCTGGAATGAGGAGTAAGTGCAGAAGGCACAATATAGAGCCTGCGGAAGGCACTGAGGAGTGGTAAGTGACTTGGCCAAGAATAGAGACTGGGATGGAGTAGAAGGGCCTCAGAGCAGGGACTTCAGTACAGATGGGGCCCTGGGGTCTAGAACTTGCTATAAAGAAAGGGGTATTCATGTCCCCGGATCACAGTGGCAAATCACAGCAGACTGGGTGGCTTAAAACAACAGAAATTTATTCCTTCATAGTTCTGGAGGCAAAAGCCTGAAGTCAAGGTGTCAGCAGGGTCGGCTCTTTTTTTTGGTTTGAAACAGAGCCTCACAATGCCC